GTTCAGTCTGCACGAAGTGACATGGTGCACAGTGTAAAAGCTCCAAGGGTGGCCATTGTGAACGAGGGTCAGGAATGGCTTAGCTTCAGTCTGCTGAGAGCCTCAAAGGGCAATAAGGGCTGGGTGAGAGGGAGGAAAGTGGGGTACCTAGGGTGCCAGTGCAGTGTCAGCCCCTGACAGTGAGGACTTCTTTGCATTTGGCTCCTGGGGTGCCTGGCTTTCCTCACCCTAGCCCAGCCCTGCTCACTGAGTCCAGCACCACCAGCTTTCGCTTTACCACTGGAACGCTGCAGATTCTTCGGTTGAGTACTGGATGAAATATTTGGCTTGGTTTTAGGAGCCACACTGGGGGGAAGTTTGGCCACATGGGTAGAGTTGATGTCGTATAAGGTGAATAGGTGCAACCCACTGTGCTGCATTCCAAAGCCCCATGTCAGGCTCAATCTGCTTCACTGAGTGTTATCCTCATGTCAATTATACAGAGATGGTGTCAGTCGTCCTTTTCTAACAGATGTGGAAAATGGAGCTGAGAGAGGTTAGGTGACTTGCCCAAGGCCACATAAGAATAAGCATCAGAATTCCAGGAATCCAGCCTGGTCTGCCAGGCTCACACCACACGGCAGCAACTCTAATACAACCACAAATGATGACAAGTGCCTTAAGGAGGGTTATCCACTAGGATTAAGTTTAGCTGCATATAACTAACGTAAGTGGGCCACTGAGGTGTAACCGGATCGGTCTTTGTCCTTTGTGTTTCTTTGTTCCCTCACATACACAAGACATCTAGAGTCAGGCAGTGGACAGCCAGGCTGGTGGGATGCATACATGATGCCACCAGGAACCCAGGCTTTTATTTATTTATTATTTTAAAAATTTTATTGTGATTTGGTAAAAGTTTACAGAGCAAATTCATTTTCCATACAGCAGTTCACATACACTTTGTCTCATGACATTGACTGCAATTTCCCACAATGCAACTTCCTCCCCATAGTTACCTCCTCCCTGTGTCCTTCCCTCCCAGGCACTCCTGCCCCCTGAGCTATCTCCCTGTGCATATACTGCTCTTCTGTTCTCCCATGATTGATCTCTCCAAGGAGTGTATCTACGTAATGTAAACATTCAGCTCATATGCCTGTCTTTTGTTTGGCTGGAAGCCACAGAGTGGGTTCAATTCCAGACCTGAAGGGTAACTAGGAGCCATAGTCTCAGGGATTTCACCAGGCTCTATCAGACCAGCAAACCTGGTCTTTTTCTTTCCTTTTTTTTTTTTTTTATAATTGTGAGTTCTATTCCACATTGTTCTCCCACTCTTTCTGGGATCTCCTACATAGATCCCCCTCTGAGTGGTGGGACCCAGGCCTTTCTGTTTTCCCATTTGGCTATCCCTAGCATGGAGCTAGTGTAGTGCCTAAGGCACTTGACTACTAACCAGAAGACTGGTGGTTCCCACCAGCCACTCCCTGGAAGGAAGGTTGGGCAATCTATTTCCGTAGTGTTACTGCCTCAGAAACCCAAGGAGGGGTTGCTATGAGTCGGGGCCGACTCGACGGCACATATCAACATGGAGCTTGCTTTCTTGTTCTCAGGAGATGACCACTTACTCTATTACAAAACATCCCATCCATATTCTCATTAGGAAGAAGGGTAGATGGGCAAAGGCTGAAAGTCCCACGTCTGCTGAGTCTGCCCTGATTACCAGGAAACAGTGGCTTTCTAAGAAGCTCCACCTGTAGACTTCCAACCACTCATGCTGCCTGGACCTGGAACATGTGCCCACTACCTGCCAGGGCCTCTGTGACGAGAGCATCCTTATAGGGTACGTTGCTACTGCAACAGATCCAGATCTGCTATTGAGGATGGAGAGGACAGAGCTAGATATTGGGGGGCAGGCAGAGAGCAATGTCCCTGCCATAGAGAAGGCCAGTAAAGGTCATGAGAGTGTGAGAGGAAGTAGGGACCCCAAGGAAGTTTCCTGGAGGAGGTGACACTTGAGCTGAGTCTCCTAGCTAGGTAGGATTTTGACAAGTGAAGATTTGGAAGATGGCTGTCTTCATTCTCTAGGGCTGCTGTCACAGAAATACCACAAATAGATGGCTTCAACAACCAAATTTATTCTTTCACAGTTTTGGAGGCTAGAAATCTGAATTCAGAGTGCTGGCTCCAGGGGCTGGGTGAAGGCCCCTTGACCTTGGGCTGTAGCTCTGCCTCTTATTCCAGGCCAACTGCAGCTGGAGGCATCTCCTAACTCAGGCAGCAGATGGCTGCTGAGGCTTATGAACCCAAGGTCAGCAGGTAAAATGGCATAATCCCAAGATTAGAAGGCAACACGGCAGGCCACTGGTTCATGTCCAGGTACTAGAGATGAAGACTCGGCCAAATGCAGGATCCAGATGTGCCACAAAGCTAGAGACCTTTCTCAAAGCTTCTCCATATATTCAGGAAATAGGCCACACCCTGAAGGCAACTACTTAGCTGCTCATAGCAGATTCCGCCCATGGAGGTGATTACAATCTCATCCTGGGGAATAACTACATCCAGCTGCCAAGTCACTCAGAACCATGGCCCAGCCAAGTTGACAGGTAGTTAAAGTAGTGACCTTAACTACCACAATGGCAAAGATTGGGAGAACAGAATAAACAAAAGCACACAATAGGACATTTAGGGCACATCTGAGGTGTCAGGGCTCTGTCACAAATCTCCCTGTATCAGAAATCCTACTCATGTTGACATAGAGAAAAACAAAGTATCAGTAGTGTCTCGCTTCAGGCACAGCTGGATCCAGCAGTTCTGAACAGATGTATCAGGGACTCTGTTTCAGCTCTGCTTATCTCATCTCTGTCTGCCCCCTGGCTCTTGGAATCCTTGTTAGCTCATCACCCCTGCAGGACGGAGCCCCTCTCCCACAGTTCTAGCAGACTCTATGCTACTCACACTGGCTTGTCTTTGGTTTATTCTTACCCCTGCACCAACTGGCCAGGTGTGTTGTAAGGAGGTGGGGTGGGCTGATTATGTCCAGGCCTGACTCCTGTTGCTGCCCTTGGGCCACATGTGAACTGAAAGTGGGCAAGGGGAATGGACCCCAGAGGAGAACTAGAGAGCGGTTTCCTGAAGGACAGGAAGGAGGCTGGGCGAGCGAAGCTGCAGACAGTTGGGGCACAGAAAGCAATTCTTTGTGGTCTGTATGTTGGGCATGTGAATGAACTTGCAGAAACCAAAGTAAGAAATGGGCTGAGGCCCTCTTTCCTATTTCACATGCCAGGTGTACTGGGTAGGGTATGGGTTTGGCTGCTACACCAGAGAGACCCAAATGAGCAACGTGCAAGCTGATGTCTTTCTGACACAACAGTTCAGTGGTGGACAGACATCCTGTTTCGAGAGGCCATGAAGGGATCCAGGCACTGTTTTGTCATTCCACCACCTTCCAGATGTTGTCTTCCTTCTCATAGTCCTAGACAGCTTTCACCTCCTCCATGTACCAGTTGGCAGGAAGGGGAATGGGGCAAGGGGAAGCCACTCCTTTCCCTTTAAGGCCTTGAAGATGTGCACATGCCTTCCCTCCACCCACACTTCAGTGGCCAGAATGTGGTCACATGGTCTCACCCAGCTGCAAGGGAGGCTGGGAATGCCGTATGCATATTTGGAGACTCCGTACATGATAAGCAGGGGAAAATGGACATTGGGGGACACATGTAGTTTGCTACACCAGGCCAAGCAGTATGTTTCCCAAACAATGGCCTAAGGAGTGCTACAAGAAGGGGTGCCCTTATGCGATCCTCAACCTATACGACTATGAGACCAGAAGAACTAGATGGTACCCACCTACCACTCTCAACCACTCAGAAGGGGATCTATGTAGGAGATCCTAGATAGAGTGGGAAAACAATGTGGAACAAAATTCAAAATCATTTTTCAGAAAAGGACCAGGTTTGCTGGTCTGATGGAGCCTGATGGAATGACTGAGATTGTGGCCCCTAGCTACCCTTCAGGTCTGGAATTGAATCCACTCCTGTGGCTTCCAGCCAAACAAAAGACAGGCATATGAGCTAAACATTTACATTAGGTAGATACATTCCTTGGAGAGATCAACATGGGAGAATAGAAGGGCTATGTATGCACAGGAGACAGCTGGGGGGGGTGGGCAGGAGTACATGGGAGGGAAGAACACAGGGAACAGGTAACTATGGGGAGGAAGTAGGAGCAGAGCTGTTGCATTGTGGGAAATTGCAGTGAATATCATGAGAAAAAGTGTATGTGAGCTGCTGTATAGAAAATGAATTAGCTCTGTAAACTTTCACTCAAATCACAATAAAAATTAAAAGAAAAAAAACAAGAAAAGAAAGGGTGCCCCACCATGCAAGATTTCTACTGTTCAAAGAGTTTGGGAAATGTTCCAAGCTATTTTCATTTTAGGGAATCTACTGTGTATGTGTGTGTGTATGTGAACACACACACACAAAGATGCTGAGAAGTCCTACAAGAAAAAAAAAAAACAAGGTTTGCCAAGCTTAGATGATCACAAAGCCGCTTTGGGTGGTAAACCAGCCAATGAAAACCTGTGGATCCCAATGGTCTGATTTGCAACTGATCTCGCAGATGGTGCAGGACCAGGCAGTGTTTCATTCCATTGTCAGTGGGGTAGCCTTGAGTCGAGAGGCTTACTCGACCACAGCTAACAACAACAACAAACACCATCTTAGTAACTAAAATACTGCACAGAAATTATTTCAAAATAAAGAGTCATTGAGAAAATTCTGTTGAACATACTTGGAGCAGTAGAAACCAGTAAGGACTTTTGAGCAGAGGCAGAATGACCCATGTGAGGTAGATGCAAGGCCAACATTCATCTTAGCATGACTGTATTCTGTGCAGACAGGCCACCAATCTAATCACCATTGCCAAAAGCTAATTTTTGGGTCAACCTAAAGTGCTAGTCTTGGTCCCTCAGAGGAATGAAGACGTTCATCCTACCCCATCTGAACTGGCTTAATCTTCGTGTCTAGAAATCGGTGCAAATCAGAACAGAAGCTGGCCCACGGCTCCACATTGAACCTCCTCTGGACTATTCTGAAGATTTTGAGCCCTGTGAGGATGTGGATATCAAGGCAAAGAATGCATCTGGGGATCGTCCACAGGTAGGAACCGGCCTTGGCTCTGTGCTCAAAACTCCCGAAGGACGGTGGGGGTCAGAGCTGTAATTCCCTCCCTCATTTGCCCATGCCCCTTCACTCATTTAACGCATTTCAAGGAGCCACAAACCGTGTGCTAGATACTCTATTAGGCACCCAGTGTCCAGACAGTCAACAACATACAATCCCTGAACCAGGAGAAGGGGCAAAGAATGGCAGAAACAAGGGAGGGAGAACATCCAGGAGGCTTTCTAGAGGAGGTGACAAAGGCTGACTAACGGTTTGAGGGGCAAGGAGGTGAGGGCAGGTGGGCAGCAGAGCTGATGTTCAGTCTGTGAGCACTGGACATCCAGTGATCTTGTGGAGCTATGGCTTGGAGTCCATGGCCACGCAGCAGCTGAGGAGGTAACGATTGTGTCATTGTTAATCCCCAATCTCAAATTACTTCATTTCTGAAATCTTTTGAATTGCAATAGTGTATCTCAGTCTTCCATGCAACAATCCTTTGTTGACCACTTACTCTTGTAAGTGTTCTGTCCTTACAAGGCTCTGTCCTGGGCACCAATGACACAGAAATGAGCATAAGTGACAAGGCCCCTATTCTTCAACAACTTACATTACAAGGGGAGACAGATGAGAAGGAATAAAACCAAGAAATAAATGAGATGATTTCAGGTGTTGATAAGTTCTGTCAATGAGAGAGAGATGGGACAGGGAGGTGCTGTGGGAGAGAGGACACGTTACATAGGGTAGCATGTCTGTCACGTATGACATTTCAGCTAAAATCTGATAGAGAAAGAGTTAGCTTGGCAATGAGGAATGGGGAAAGCACTCCAGGCCAAGGGAGCAGCAAGTGTGAATAGTATGAGGCTGGGCTTGTTCAAAGAGTGGAATGCAGGCATGGTGTGAGCAAGGGCAGAACAGAGTGAGGTGAGTGTGGAGGGAATGGCAGGGCCAGATCAAGCAGTGCATTCATCATAGGCCTGGGGTTGGTGATTTGGATTTTATTCCAGGGGCATCACTTTTTTAATTATTATTTTATTTTTTAAAATTTTTATTGTGATTTGGGTTAAAGTTTACAGAGCAAATTCACTTTCCATACAG